GATTAACCCAGGAAATATGCATACTAAAATGAATTTCAAAAAGAAAATAGAGACATTGGAAAAATTTTGTTCCAAACTTTATGGTAATCAAGCACAACAATGAGCTTCTTAACGGATAGTTCTCCTGATGAGATGAGTTGAAATCACTCTTTTTCCTCAAGAGAAACACAATGTTTACCTTGCATTAAATTCTAAAAGTAGCTTATGTAATGAGGTCTTTCATACAGGAAATTTAGTAGCCTAATAGATATCATGAAGTCCTGGCATGGCACTGTGGTTAATGTGCTGGACTGCAAAGTCGGTTTGAACTGCAAGGTCAGCGGCTCAAGTTCACCAGCCACTCCTCAGAAACCTTTTACAGAGTTGCTATGAGTCGCAACTGACTGAACAGGACTGAACAACAACAACATTGGATATCACTGGATAATTTTTACAAAATAGGCTTTGCGTAGTGGTTATGAATTGGGCTGTGAACCTTAAGGTCAGCAGTTTGAGGCTAACAGCTGTTGCTTGGGAGAAAGCTGAGGCTTTCTGCTCCCGTAAAGATTTACAGCCTCAGAAACCCTGTACAGGGTTGCTATGAGTCGGAACCAACTCCACGGCATATAACCACCACCACCCCATAATATTAAAAAAACCCAACTAGGTATAGGTAATTTTCAAAGTTAAATTACCTTGTCTACTTGTTCTGACTTCATACTGTGAAAAAAATGTTAGATGCCATAAAGGCGATGGTGTTAAAGTCTGTCAGACTATCTTTCCTTTATTTTCATTTGAATTTTACAGAAATGAATGTAAACATATGTAGTATAGTCAGAAGAATCTTAAACAATGAAAACCCAGGAGTCAAAAAGAAAACTTATAACACATAACACAGATGCTCAGGTATGGACCAATCTCACCTTATGCATAAAGTTTTGCTTTTAGGTGATATTGAAATTATGAACAAGATGTTCTGGATAGATTTATTTTTTCTGGAATAATTAAGAAATAGTCTTCCAAGAAGTATCTGAAGTAACTTGAGAATCAAAGACTCCTGGTAGAATCACTAAGTAACTTGGACTATTTATCTAATGATTAATGGCTGCCTAACGTATTGGGTTCTTAAAAGTCTCATGAGAACACAATATTCTGGACCAAATTAATTAGAATTCTCTTTCATAAAACATCCTCCTTTATATTCAACACTGAGAGTTTTATTAAGATGATTAGTAATAGTGAACTGGCGAAAACATACAGAAATTATCAAGTGACTGTTCGATGCAACATATTACAGACTTTATTGAAAGCAAATTTTGGCTAGTTAAGAACTCAATATTTGCAGGGCCTTGAAAATTTCCCACTGAAATAGGAACACAGAACTATATATTCTAATGTCTGTATGCATTCAATGAAAAATTAAACATATATATGTTTAAATATAAATTATTTAGGGAAAGTGTAGACAATTAAACATGAATAGACTTTGTATTTAACAATAGCAGAAAATTAGGCATAGTGAACGCTAATAGTCTCAAGCGTAGAACTAATATGTGTTGTTATACACCACTTCTACAGGAATAACTCTATGTTTCTTAATCAAAGTCAGTAGGAAACATATAGTTCAACATTTTATGTATCACTCTGTTTAAGGGTTCTTCTACTTTAAAATGATAGTTCATAAGAGCTAAGTCCTTAGTCCATAGGGAATTAATACAATATAGAATCCTCTACTAAATAATCCTACATTCACAACTCCTTTGTACAAATATATTAAAAAGTTGTCTAGGCTGCATTGTTGACTTGCTAAGTATTTCATAATAATAAACATTTACAAATAATCACGTACTAAAGATTTTCTGTATGTCCCATTCCACAAAACATAACAGAAGAAATTTTATAAATTGTATGAGAAAATATTTTTCTCTTAAAGAATGATTGATATAAATTTTCTAACACAAAAAAGAAGATACTTTTTTACTATAGTAAAGGTTATCTAGACAACATTAAAAGATTGAGGAAAAATAGCAGTACCGGGTTCTAACAGAAATAAAAATCATGATGCATAATATTATTATGTGTTATTTAGAAAAAGGAATGCATTTGCAGTGCATTATATTCTGAATAAGATATACTTAGTTAGAATTATACTCCATCTTGGTGTTCCTAACCCTGGATTTGTACATCTATTATGTATTATTTTTGTCCTCTGTCTCCTATTGTGCAGATAAATTAAAAAGAGACAGAGAGCAAGAGAGAGAAATAATCCAATGCATTTTTAGGTAACTTAGTAATGAAGAAAATAGCTTTGTTTTCTTCTAGCAATCTTTTATTCTCTCTTACCCATACCAATAAAAATGCCATAGCAGTACCTGAACAAACCTTATTATTACAATAGTCAGGCACATTCTTGTTTTTTTTTTTCTTTTTCGCATTCATTTTTAAATGCTTTATGTACCACAAACTCCAACTCCAATGTAATTATACTGAAAAATGTACAAAAATTAAATGGAGTTTTTTCCAATTGTATAACACACACATACTGGAAATTTTTTTTCTAGATGATTGACTAATATGCCACTGGTAATTAATGTTTTCTTAGTTAAGGATTACTGCGTGCTCACTATATGACAGGAATGACTTTCAGATTTTCCACGTGATAACATCATTCTCATGATTCTATAAATCAGACATCAATCTGATTTCCAGAGGGGTAACCTTAAGCAATTTGCCCAGGTCACACAGCTAGGAAGTAACAGATTCAGAACTCAAAACCGGGTTCTCTGGAGCCAGAGCCTCTGCTTGTAACCACCTGGGAAGACTGTCTTTCACAAACAATCATTTCACCTTTCAAAAAGGTCAAAGACATTTTCATAAGCCAAGTAAGAAAGCTGGTAATAGACAGTGAACTTGTCACTCTTGTCACCCATTTCTCAGAATTTTACATCTGTGTTTCTCATATATAACATGCTCTCTGAATCCTCTCCTATCTACTCCAACCCTTATTTTCATTGTCCAATCTCCAATAAATTAGAGGCCACAGATCACAAGCACGAAGACTTTGGGCATTAATGGAGACTTCCTAGATAAGAATTGAGAGGAAGGTTTCAGATAATTTCTAATACATTTCTGTTCACAGGCATAAAAAGCACAAATGAAAAGAAAAAACATATATCCTAAATGTATGCACAGATTCTACGATAACAATTAGGACCAAGTGAAACAGAATAAAGTTCAGAAAGCATTAATAATCTAATTTTCACCCCAGAAAGTAATCCACTATCAGCATAATCTCATCCATTTTAAGACTCAGCTGAATATCAAGTTCATGTTACCACCCACAAGCACACAAATAAACATACAGGATACTACAATGCTGTTGTTGTTGTTAAGTGCCATCGAGTTGATTCTGACCCATAGCAACCCTGTATAGGGTTTCCGAGGAGCAGCTGGTGAGCTTGAACTGCCAACCTTGCAGTTCAAACGGCTTTGCAGTTGGGCACATTAACCCACAATACTACACTACAATGATACAAGGCCTTATTTTTACCATGAAGAAATTCATTCTCTGATTTTTATTTTCTAGGTTTGCTGCTTGTTAACCATGGTATGAAAATGTTACTCCATTCATTACCATGAAAATGGATCCATTTATTTCCGTTCCTTCTAGAGAAAGCCATTGTCACATGCCATCTTAAGCAACAACTGATATTTCGGCCTAAGACTTGATGGAGCTCAGATCCACTAAAGTAGCACAGAAAGAAAGCAAACATAAAAGAGACGCTTTTATGTTTGAGATGGTTCTCATTGATCTTATGGTCTTGTTACCCTTGTTTTCTATAACATGCTACCAGGTAGGCCTGTAAGCATGGATCTCACAAGTATTCCTTATTAAATTAACAAAGGGAATAAATACTTAAGGAAGATGAAAAGGAAAGGGGGAAAAAAAAAAAAAAACGAGCAAACAAAAACCCCTTTGACCTGACATTATGGTTGAAAAAAAAAAAAAAAGAAAAAAGACACTAAGATGAAAAAAAAAATAGTGTCATGGTTTACATGTGGGGTTTTGATGGAATCTAAGGCTGTGTTTCAATTCAAAACTCACCATCTCAAAACCACTTCTTTTCATCCGCCTGCAGGACTTGAGGTAAGTACGTATACGTTTTCTGGCACGCTCTTGATACTCAGGGAATTGTCGCCTGCATGAGTCAATGATAGCCTGGATCTTTTCTTTGGGCTGCTTAGAGATTGGGACCATTCGGTCCAAGTTTTCATCTACAAACAGCCTGACAAACATCTGTTGGCAAGAGGGAGACAGAGGAGAAGGGTTTGGAGGGCTGCTCTCTTCTGTTCCTAGCTTTCTGTTTTGATTACCGATAGGAAAATACTCTTTTCTGGTTTATGCACTGGAGTATTTTGCAATGGAAAGCCAGGATTTTAAGCAAACACTCTTTAAAGACTTTCTAAAGGGTTGGATAAAAATTAGAGAGAAAGAGGGAGAAAAACAGACAGACAGACAGACAGAAAAGAATAGACTATTGTGTAGAAAATAATCAGGAAATAACAGTAGACTGTGACAATCAAGCACCCCATAAAATTCTCTATTAATGATAAATACGACTGCTACATTGTTACACTACACAGTGTACTAATCTCTGAAAACAATTGACTCTTTTGTCATGCACAATTAGATAAGCTGGAAAAGCAAAAAACAAAAACGAAACAATAACTGATGACGGGCGTACTCTTCTGATGAATAAGCTGAGGCCCCCTTCATCCACTAGGTAAACATGCATACTCACACAACACAACTCCAGTTTTCAGCTCACATTTGGCTTTAAAATTCTAAACAAAACACAGCAATTCTGGTGTCTGGTTGGCAAAGAGTGTTTCATGTACTTTTTAAATCCTTCTGTAAATTAAACAAACATGTCTCTAAAATATCCACATTTACCAACAAGCAACAACATGAAAGTGAAGTGGCAAAAATGAAACTGCCCGGCCGTGTGGAAGGGACTCACATTGAAAGCTTTCAGCCGCTCAGCTTCCACTCCGTCTGTCTCGTTCACTTTCTCAGAGTCCTCATGGTCATCGTGCTCATCTTCATCCTCATCTCCCCTGTTTAGAGACAGGTCTTCTGCACCTCTGTCTACACTGTCATTTTTGCCAGAGTCATAGCTTGAGTAACTGTGTGCAGGAGACTGGAAAAAAGGAGGGAGGAATTTAAACTTTGAGGTTATTGTCCCAGACTCGAAATTTTACTTTTTATTTTTAATTTCAACAGTTCCTCAAAAACCTTATTTAGATGCATTGGTAACTTCAGAGTTGTGGCTATTTTAATGAACTCAGAGTTAATTAAAATTAAATTGGTTTCTTTAGTCACACTCGTCACATTTTAAGTGCTCCACAGTGTGGCGCTGTGGATTAATGCGCCGGACTGCAAAGCCGTTTGAACTGCAAGGTCGGCAGTTCAAGCTCACCAGCTGCTCCTCGGAAACCCTATACAGGGTCGCTATGGGTTGGAACCGACTCGACAGCACTTAACAATAACAACAGCCATATATAAGGAACTTGGTAGCATAGTGGTTACGAATCAGGCTGCTAACCTCAAGGTCGGCAGTTCGAAACTACCAGCTGTTCTGTGGGACAAAGATGAGGCTCTCTACTCCCGTCAAGATTTGCAGCCTCGGAAAACCTGTGCAGGGTCACTATGAATCGGAACCGACTGCACAGTACTTAACAACAACAACAGCTACATATAACATTTCCATCATTTCAGAAGGTTCGATTGAACTTTTCTGTTCTAGAGCATCTATGGTCTCCATTTAATATTTATATTGTCTTGCCAATTTTGCAAGAGAACCATAGAATCACATTTTCTAGGAAATGGAAATCACTTCACAACTTAATTAGTTTACCAATATAATTAGTCCAACAACAGATGAGAATACTGAACAAAGAATATTCTTATTCATTTGTCCTATAAGTGCTGTACAAATTGTCCTGTTTTTGTTAAGTATCACTGTATTTGTATAGAGTTTCCAATGAGCAGTTAGCAGGTTTGAACAAGACCCGTTCTTGAGTCTGTCTTTAAGTTGAATTTTTAAGTAAGTGGAATACGTACATGTGGATCTTGATTATTGTCAGTTAATAAAATATTGTTTGCCTTAGTTTATGGTATATATTTTACTTTTCAATACAAATAAAACACTTCCAGTGCACTGTTGTTGTTGTTGTTATGTGCCTTGGAGTCGGTTCCGACTCATAGCGACCCTGTACAGGGTTTCTGAGGCTGTAAATCTTTACGGGAGCAGAACGCCTCATCTTTCTCCAGCGGAACAGCTAGTAGTTTCGAACTGCTGACCCTGAGGTTCGCAGCCCAATTCGTAACCACTACGCTACCAGAGCTCCAGTGCACTAAAACATCTTAAACATAATAATATAATACATAATACAATAATAACAAAAGTAACTACATACGATCCTATGTGTGTATGAGAGAGAATCTGTGTATCATGTGTGTATGAATACCAAACCAGACAAACCCAGTGCCATTAGTAATAGCAGCCATGTATAGGACTCCTGGTGTGGTCCTGTAGGATCAGCACTGGACTGTGAACCACATGGCCAATGGTTCAAATCCACCAGCTGCTCCTCAGAAACCCTACACAGGGTCGCTCTGAGTTGGGACAGACTAGACAGCACTAACAACAACATAGGGTTTCTGAAGCTGTAAATCTTTGTGGAAGCAGAAAGCCTCATCTTTCTCCTGGTGGGTTTGAACTGCCAACCTTGCTGTTAGCAAGCCAGTTTTTTTCTTACAGCACCACCAGGGTTCCCTGTGTAAGAATGCTGTTGTTAAGTGTTTTCTAGTCAGTTCCGACCCATAGTGACCCTGTATAGGGTTTCCAAAGAGCGGCTGATAAATTTGAACCACTGACTTTGTGGTTCAAACTGACCTTAAGGTCCAGTACATTACCCCATAGCATCACACCAGGACTCTGGTGTAAGAATGTTCTTGTTGTTGTTAGTGCCGTTGAGTCGATTCTGACCTATAGCGACCCTGTATAGAGTTTTCAAGGAGCAGCTGGTGAGCTTGAACCACCGACCTTGCAGTTTAAACAACTTTGCTGTCTGACGCATTAGCCCACAGCGCCACACCAGGACTCCCGGTGTAAGAAAACATTACTGCTAAAAAAAAAAAAAAAAGCACTAATGAATGATTCTTCAAATAAGTCAAAGAAAACCAATCACATCACTTACATTTGAATTCTAGTGATACACTTTTCACTTTAATGGTGTGCAAATATGCCCTAATTTTGAAATAGGACTTGGAACTCATTTCGAATGGTTCACTCATGAATAATGGAAACAAGAGCAGAATACGCGTTGCATAACAACCAAGTCCCTTCCGATTTTGACCTAAGTAGGAGCCCTGTGGCACTTTAGGATAAGCATGAGCAATGGCCTGCAAATCACAAGATGGGCAGTTCAAATCCATCAGCGACTTTGTGGGAGAATGGTGAGATTTCTGCTGTAAAGATTTACCATCTCAAACAGTCTATATAGGGTTGTTGAGTTGGAGTAGACTCAATGACAGTGGGTAATTTTGTTTGTTTAGGAAACAGGCTCTGCTCAAAGATGACAACTGACCACATCCTAAGTAGCGTGGCCAGCTGTCATCTTGAAGTGGGCCAGCACAACCTATTTCTACCGTGGTCAAAATACAACACACAAGAGATTTGACTGCTATATAACGCATATTGTTAAGTGCTATGGAGTTGGTTCTGATCCATAGGGACTTTGTTTGGATTTCTGAGGAGTGGCTGGTGAGTTTGAACTGCTGACTTTGTTGTTCAAACCAATTTTGCAGTCCAGCGCATTAACCCACAGCACTACACCAGTACTCCTTGACTGGCCATGACAGACTATTTCAAATAGTTTGAAATTCTGCTGTGAAACAATTGAACCAACTTCTACTTGCAACAAATTCCTCATCATAGCGTAGTGGTTACAAATCGGGCTGCGAACCACAAGGTCAACAGTTCGAAACTACCAGCTGTTCTGCGGGAGAAAGATGAGGTGTTCTGTTCCCTTAAAGATTTACAGCCTCGGAAAACCTGTACAGGGTCGCTATGAGTCGGAACCGACTCCACGGCACACAGCCACCAGCCACCATTACCCTCAATGACTGCTCTTGAAGCTTTTTGAAAAGACTTTGAGTCTTTTCTAGCATTAACGTAAGGCTTGTTTTTGAGTGCCTTCAAGTAGGTTGGCCCGTTGTTGTTGTTAAGTACCGTGGAGTCGGTTCCGATTCATAGCGACCCTGCACAGGATTTCCAAGGCTGTAAATCTTTATGGGAGCAGAACGCCTCCTCTTTCTCCCACAGAACAGCTGGTGGTTTCAAACTGCTGACCTTGAGGTTCGCAGCCCGATTCGTAACCACTATGCGACCAGATCTATAGGTACCCTTTATGGAGTTGCCATAAAACTTTGAAATCTCTGCGAACACTGGCTGGCTTGAACCATAGATCTTGTGGTTCACAGTACAGTGCTTATGATATGGAGCCACTGCACTCCCCAACATAAGGCTATATGGGCATATTATGCTGATTTTAATAAAAGAAACAAATTATCACAGCATTTTCATTTCAATAATTAAACCATTGTGTTGCTTAGTAATGATTCTCCCAGGGCAGAGCCTTTCATAGTTTCCGTTATTCTCACTTTCACCTTTTAAACTCTTCTGAACTCTGACCTACTGTAGCCTAATGCTTTTCTCCAAAGACTGATGGCATTTCACCTCTTTCTGATCACTTGATGATTTCCACTTCATTTGCAGTTGTGATCATTTTCTTTTTCTTTGATGCATCACTGGGACTTTAATCAGATTTATGCTTTGGAGCCATGGTGACAAGAGTAAATAAGAAGAAAATTTAATACAAATATGAAATTACACACTCAACTCAGTGTTAATGGCAGTGTGATCTGACAAAAAGGCAGCCAGCAGGCTCCTTCCTCGAGCTAAGAAATCACTGAAGCTATGTAATGTTTGCATGAAACTTGCAAAGTAGTGCATGTGTTTGTTTCTATGAACTCTTGTATTTAACTCAAAATTTTAATACAATAATCTTTATGGCAGTCCATTTTTAAACATGAATTTTCTGTAAATTGGCTGTTATTTACCCAGGGACTTATTGTATAATAAGTGTAGCATATATTATACAAGAATATATTTTTTTATTATACAAAGGTACTTTGGTGGCATAGTGGGTTACATATTGGGCTGTTAACCACAAGGTAAGTGGTTTGAACCCACCAGTTGTTCAGTAGCAGAAAGCTGAGGCTTTATGCTCAGTAAAGATTTACATCCCTTGGAAAACCTCCACAGGGTCATTGTGAATTGGAATTGACTCAAATGAACATAACCACCACCATTATTATACACGATTATATTATTGATGTTGTTTGCTGTTAGGTGATGTTGGGTCAGTTCCAACGCATAGTAACACTAATGCACAAAAGAATGAAATACTGCCCAGTCCCGCACCATCTCCCCAACTGGGGTTACCTTTGAAACCATTGCTGCTGCCACTGTATCAATCCATCTCATTGAGGAGTCTTCCTCTTTTTCGCTGACCCTACAATTTACCAAGCGTGATGTCTTTCTCGAAGAACTGGTTCCTCCTATTAATGTGTCTGAAGTATGAGAGACAAAGTTTTGCTATCCTGACTTTTAAGGAGTATTCTGGCAGTACTTCTTCCTAGACAGATTTTTTTCCTAGACAGTTTGTTCTTCTGGCAATCCTTGGCACTTTAAAAAAAAAAATTTTTTTTAAATATAAATAAAGGGTTTGTTACAAAATGCAAAATGTTATTTTCTCATTGTCAGTGATTGAAGGCAACAAGGCCATGAGCCCTGGGTAGAGCTGGAGTCAGGACAAAAGGCAGGCTCAGGAACGGGCTGACACACTGGTTCACAACGTCTGGCACCTGGGTGTTCTCTAAGGCTGCTGCTACGCGCTCCTTATCTGCAAGCTGCTTATTCACTGCATGCTCCGAAGCATGGGTCCCCGGTGTAATGCGCACATCCATCTTGAAACATTGGGGAAGGGGTCCAATCAGGTTAACTTTGATGGACAGACTGATAAGGGTAGCCATGCTGTAGTGCGGAATGGTGGGCGTGAAGGTCACTGCCAC